TGGGGAGGAGGGGGGGGCAGCACGATACTATAAAAGTTCTTCATGTTTGATTGACATGCAGGTTGATGGCTGTAAAAAGTAGTTATAGTTATCAGTTACCAACTCTCTTACACATTTGTGTTATTTTACTTGTACCAACCTTTAATGTCTCAAACTACTCGCGCCGGTGTGTAAAGGTGAAACACAACAACGTAACATTCCACAAAATCATAATAGAAAATTATGAAATTCCCCACACGACCCTCTTCACAACGTGAGATGCTGGTGACTGGACTGGTCGATGTTTAGAGGTCACTTTAGCATACTTGATTCCATCCCCCAATGTTAATTCTAATCACATTCTGGCTAGTGGTACTTACCAAGAAATGAAATTTTAATGTACAGTTGAATATCATGTAGCCAATTTTTAATCATATGCTTGTGAACATTTCCCTGTGCACCCAAATTGTACAGAGCAGTGGAATTATTCACCACATTATTGAATAAAAATGAAATCTTATTGGGGATTGATCTTGAAGTCGAATATTTGTTAGCCGAACTTCAGGCACCTTCAGGACCAAATAAAGATTACAATAAGGAAGATCGCTTTGGATTTTCTGGCAAACTATGATTTGTTAGCTGTCTTTTTAATGGAAGTTTTAAATAATAAATGAAAATCGGGACAGAAATACAAATAACGATAACGGGAAGATTGCCAACGCTTTTTAATTCCTGACGAACTATAAAAAATTTTGCTGCAAAGATTGTGGTTGATGGAAGTTTAAATAATAAAATTAACGTCAGGTTTAAAAACGAACACGATAACAGAAGATTGTCAACGGACTTTGGAATATCTGAGCATCTAAAGGATTGCTTCTTTAAGGGGTCTTTTAATGATACACATGAAGTGAGATTAAGACTGCATTCCCAGAGATTTAGATCGATCGATCTGGATCGACCTAACTCCCTTGGGGTTTACGCTAAATTGCTGTCAGCCGAGCGTGCACCACAAGGGATAGATCGATCTAAATATCTATGGGAATGGGGTCTTAGTGCCCTGTAACGTTTATAAGGTATATTGGGTAAGTTCAAGTTTCTTTCAAAACACACGAAAAAAATTTACATTTCAAATACCCGAAATTTATCTCTACAGGGCAGCAGGAATATGATTTAAAAGTGCACTTTCTTCAAACTTCTGGTCGTAAATTTAACCTTTTCTCTCTAGAGTCCATAAAACACAGAGACCAAGCAGAAAATATCTGTGTAAATTTACTTTCGGGAAATAATATTACTTGCATTAGATGTGACAGTGTTATTTCTTTAAATTGTACCATTTTAAACACTGTAGTGGTATTTGGTTGGGTTTAGTGGCACGAATGCAATAATTTGACATAAGTTCTCGGTTTCTCTACATCTTTGAATGATAAAATGGACCCAACAAAATGAAACAAGTAATAACGACCACTAATAGAACCACACTGACATTCAAGTCTGCATGGTAATTCAAAAGAAAACAAAATACATAATTCAAATAACACCATTTTATTCTGAAGCATATTCATATACTACAAGGGAAGCAAAATTATAACATAATTTTTACAAAATTATTACATGCATATCCATTACGTTTCTTATCCTGCTGTGGTTGTCATGCTTCACTGTAAGTCTGTGTAGCATTATATTCACTCATCCAAAATGTTCGGAAACATGAAAGTATTATCAATAATTAGTATGTAATGTAGTGGGAAAATTTTTAGCTTATGTAAAAAAGTAACGAATAGTGGGTGCATTATTCATCAATATTTGGTTAACATCCTTACCTTAGCTCATATGCCTATTTTATAATTATTCAAATAACGATGTTTCCGAACTTCTTAGGTCGAGTGTATATGGTGGCTTGTCCCTGTAATTTATTCTACTTAGACTATGCACCTGACAGTGACTGCAAGATATGGCTGGTCTCATTTACATCGTTGCCACCTTCATGTTTGACAGTTAGCTTGTGACAGTCACCTGGCCATTGCAACAGAAAGAATGCGTTAGATGTGACAGTAGCACATTTTATGAAAAAGATTAAAGCAATAATAACTCTTCGTTTCGGCCAAAAAATGAATTTTCCTGGAGTAAACAACAATTTTCCCATACTTACCAATGGTTAATGAATCCATTTTTACATTCAAAGTTAGTCCCTGGTTTTTTTCTAAAAAGTTTGGTTTTTTGTTAAAATCTCTTAAGAGATTTTAACAGAGTATAGACATCAATGGAGGTCACGTGGTCTAAAGACAAGTTCAAATATCAGAATAAAAGCTATAACTGCTGTTTTCTTGGTAAATCAGAATATATTATATTTCTATGAGTTATTCACAAGGTTTTTATTGTGAAATATAGGTCTCATACGAAGAGTTATTATCCCTTTAATGTAGTGTAAGTAGCCTACCACAGACCAAATTGAAAACCAGCCAGATTTTAATTTGTGCGAGGCAGAACTGAAATTTTAATTTAACCTAACTTCCGTGTTAATTACCCCCTAACTGCCCGAGGAGGCGTGCGACGTTTGAGCTGATTCCACTGATTGTAATTAGAGATTATCCTCCTCAAAGTTGGACCGACCCAGCTATTACAATTGGCAGGCCCGTAGCCGGGGGGGCTCGGGGGGTTCGAAAGAACCGCCCCTTTTGCTGGGAAAAGGTCCACTCTGGGTAAAATGTGGTCTAGGTACATGATGTTTTTTATGGGAAAAGGTCCACTTTTTCAGAAAAAGAACCCCCCTTTTGAAATTGCTGGCTACGGGCCTGATTGGTCTATCTGAATGCACCCTATCTGAATGGGGTCTTATGCCCAAATAAGCGCCAATTTCTGCACAAATTTTCTGTAAAATAGTCAATATGCTGCGAATCAATCTTAGACCCTGTCTACAAAACTCCTCAGCTACTAGCACAGAAGTTTATGAACTATAGATAATTCACAGTTTACAGCATGATTCAAGATTTTACAGTTCGAGGTCGTTTAAGTATATGTGAATGCACACCAACCTGTCGCATTCCAAGTGACCGTTATAAAATTAAACCTTTTCCTTGTCAACTGACAAGACACAAAATATTAAGCAGCATAATATCATTACTCCATTTTATGATTCATACCGGTCATCTTATTTAAACACAATTTAAATCCATACATTTTAATTTCCATTAAAGAAGACGCTTTCCAGACTCTACAGGTATGAATTAAGTAAAATGCAGAAATGCTCACGCACACGACGTTCCTTTAAAACTATCACATGAAAATGACAATATATAGTAAAAGTAAAATACTTATAAAACACCATATACCACAAACGCTCTCTTTGTCTTTCCCGTAGGCGATAAAATATAAATCATTCATAACTTATCATTTTAAGCTTTACTGCGGCAGGTGTGAAGTTTTAATTACCAATTAAGGTTTCGTGTTAGTCTGTGGATAATAATTTCATCATTATACAATTTCTAGATTGTAGTCTGGTCATACATGTAATCAAATATCTGGATTATAATCTGGTCATATATGTTATCAAATATCTGGATTATATTCTTGTAATAATCAAATATCCGTGGCCGTTGTTGTAATCGTCTTGACCGGAGGCGTTGTCTCCGGCGTTGTACGAGCCCCCTCCTCCACCGCACGAATTTACGGAATTATCTCCGCTAGCTCCACCCGAGTAACCGCCTCCGCCCCCCGCCCCTCCGCCAAAACCATACGCCCCCGCCCCACCACCGAACCCTCCCCAGCCTAGATATGATTTCGGCCTGCCACCAGTACCTCCGTTAACAAAAGCAAATCCACCTTCACCGCCCGTACCATAGGATCCACCAAACTCAGTGCTACTGCGCCCGTTGGTCAGCAGGCCACCGCCGCCGCCACCAGAATTGCCGGTGTCTGCAGTTGAAGCTCCCTCTCCGTTTGAACCACCAGGCCAAATCGTACTGCTACTGTAACCGCTGTTCCCAGTAGTATTTGTAGTGCCGCCACACGCTGCTCGCCGCTTAGTAGCCCCTTCAATACCTCCCCCGCCACCAGCTATGATGATAGGCGTGTTATCGGCGTACGTCAGGAATGTGCCGCCACCACCGCCTGAGGAGGAATGAGAATTCTCACCGCCCATTTGTCCTACTAGAATCTTTAGCTGGTCACCTGTAAAATAGGCGTTGGTCAAGAATCAGTAAGGCCCCATTCCTATAGACACCATCGGTCTACGTATATCGATCCTACTCTGTGGGGACTCTCTCTGAGTGCAATCAGCTTAACTAAATGACACGCCTCTTGTATCCAACGCACTCGTTAAATCACTTATCATAATTTCTTATGTTTTCTACTCAACACCAGGAGAAGCGTGTCATTAAGTTAACACAAAGTAAAGTGGGTTGCACTCAGCAAGTAAAAATGTACCTATTGACCAGTAACTCAGGCAGCACATGGGAAACTTCAAGGTAAAGACTGAAAAAGTTTAAGTTTATTAAAAGTTGAGATTATATTTCCATAAGATGAGGACACAAGTCTAAGAGGAGATGCTGTAACGATAACTTATATCCGCCGACATGCGGTGGATTCGCGTGGACGAGACGGGTCAGGGATAAAACCACGTGTATTCCCAGCGCTCACGCTAGTGGTGCAATTATCTGTTGTGCTGTACGGCTCGTGCACCCTTAAAACGTGCACAAAGGTAAAACCAACAAATTTCGTTTAGCATATATCGTGACATCCCCATTTACACAAACACGCCCAAACACACACACACACACACACACACACACACACACACACTTACCTGCATAAAGCGTAAAGTCTCCAACCACATACGCGCCGTAGCTTCGATATGTGCACCCACTGCTGTCACATCCACCAGCAGCACCTGAAGAATTTTGCACATGACAATCGTTGGAATAATCGCTTAACTGTGCACAAAATCTGAATTTTATCTTACCAGACAAAAAACAGTGCTGTTCCGACATATAAATATTATATTTCTGCTTAATATCAGCACCGTCGACAGGGACTCCCCAGCAAGCACGGAATGTTTTATAACGTTACCTTGACGTCCCCATAACGTTTTTGGTTATATAAACGTTATGGTACCATTATTATAATGGTTTGTGTTTGCTGGGTCATGATTTCTACCGAAGTTACTCCTTAGTGTGTATTGTCCACTTACCTGCAGCCTCTATTCTGTAAGTACCATTGGACGGTATGGTTATGTACTGGGTCCCGTTGGTCACTGTCACCAGCCCCTGTAGGCCTGTACCGTCATAATGAGAGCCCACCGAAGTAGGTCCGTCCCTTCCCGTAGTGCCAAGGTTTGTGAATGTTCCACCACCGAAAGTTGCTAAGAAAAAACAAGATGTGTCCGAAATATAAGTTTATTCGAGTTACTAGGTTTCCAACTATGTGGGACTTGCTGTAGTTCTGAATTAGAGATATTGAACGCATTCTGAACTGAAATAAATCAGCACAATTAAAGATCTTAAATTCCCAATAGCTGGTTGCATATACATGTAGTTAAACATACTTTAGAAGCTATCAACCTAAATATTTCCTCTTACTGAAACAAAGCAGCAAAGCTGTCAAATGTACAGACATAAAGCAGAAAATAACGCCGAAGTGCCCAAAATGGGGTTTATGAAAATTTTGATGCAATATTACAGAATGCAAAAAAGCATAATCACCACCATTTTTAAAAATTTGACCATCACATAACATGACTAATAAAGTCGAATTCGATCTGTATTTTAGTCATATTCATAAGCCCTGTCAGTTGAAAGACAATGGGTCAACAGATTTCCTGGTTATTGCGTTATCTCAGGACGCATTCAGGACAAGTTGATCCACGGACTAACAGATCCGCGGATCAAATATGGCCGACTTACTTGGAAGCTTGCCGCATGAACCCCAAACAGACATTGAATAGATTCCAGGCAGGGATTACGCGGTAAGCTTTCAACTGGATCGGCCATATTTCATCCACAAATTTGTTAGTCTGGGGATCAACTTTTGTTGTGAATGCAGCCTCAGAAAAAATTGCACGGCAATTACGATGGTGACACAGGAGATGGCTATATGTACAGACACGTCGCTTCTGTACACAAAAAAGTTGATTTATAGAACAGGAAAATTTTTATCTTAAGGTAACTTAAAAGCAGTTTTAAAAGGAAATAAAGGACTGTCCTTACAGGGAATCCTATCTGGATCCAGTAACAGACCGCTGCTGCCCATGCATCTGTAGCTTCCGACGGTGTTGACACACGTTTCTTGGCACTGGTTGGTGCCGTTCACGCACTCATTTTTATCTACATGCAATGATACCAAAATTTTCATTAATATTTAAAATGACATTTTGAAATATATTACAGTATTTTGGATGTGCAGATTATACAATTTTCAAGGTACTGATAACTGATTTGTGACAAACAGCATACAGGATTCATTGATTGCCAAATGTTTCAATAAGCTTTTGCAATTCACAAGCCAACTTGAATGAAAGTACGGCGTAAGTCCGAATTCATGAAGAATTCTATAAAGACTCCCTATCCTTGGATCAGTGCCAAACTAATCAATCATAGCAAATGAAAGAACATTCTTTTCAAATCTTACATCAATTATTCAGATCTGCGGTACCTTGCACTCGATTGAGTCCACAGTAATAAAGATAGGGATGTTTTTTTAACATATTGAAATAACAATCTTCCAAAGAAAATGATGGAAATTGAGGAACTGAGGATGCGAGACATTTGACAGAAGCATAAGGCCAGTGATTTATTCAAACACACAAGCCACGGCCTTATAGGTCTTTATTACAAAGAGTTGGATCTTGAACATTTCCCATGTATGAAACAAAATCGGTTGACAAACTCAGTATTTGTCAATCTGCATAACAAAATAAATAATTCAGGTAGAAAGTGTTTTGACTTTGGACGCTTGGTGTTCATCGTTATTTCATTGTGATTTTCATTTTAGGTATATGCGTGTCAATGAGATGCAAGTTTCCTCTCCAAATTTCCTATCTTTTATTATTTTTACACGAAAATATTTTGACCAATGGAAAATATGATTTAAACAGGAAAATTTGAATTGAGATGAAAATACACATTTCAGTAAACAGATAAAAATCTTCAGCATTAATAATATGTTGTATTACTTTTCTTCAAATTCGGCAATTCATGTTCTGCCTAGATATTACAACCATTCCAGCAAACAAATTTTTTTCAGGTATCATGTTCATGATGTTGAGACAAACTTTAATTGCAATTTAAAAGCGGTTGCAATATTAACATTATACGGCCTATAAAAGTGGCCTAAACCTTCAAATTCCATTGAGCAAAATCATTTCAAATGAGTTAAAATACATTACAAAAGTGCTGTGAATGTGTAGAGAATACTATTTTCAAGGCACTGAAAACTTATTTGTGAACAACGTAAAACGCCTACACGATTGATTAATTTATTGCCAAATATTCCGATAAGCTTTTGTTAATCACACGGCAATTGGAATGAAAGTACGGCGTAGTTAATAGGAGTTCGTTGTGATGAAAGTTCGAGAAATCAAAAATTGGCACATTTCGTATCTAATATCTTATTCAATAAAATTGAAACCCGAAGTATGGAGTTGTACAAGGTTAAAAAAACCTTCATACATGTTACAATAGGCTTTTGTAATTCACAACTTGAATGAAAGTACGGCATATGCCAGATTTCATAAGAGTGCGTTGTGATGAAATTTGAGAATTCAAAAACTGGCACGTATTGTATTGAACAGTTTATTTAGTAAAATATCAACCCGATGGTTGAATTTGTACGATGATCAAAGCAAATAAAATCAAACTAAATTAACTTAACGGGTAGGTAAGAGCTTACAACTAAATGGTTCTTAATAAATATTCTAAAAAGGACTTAAAAATTAATTGTTATTAAAGTTTGGCTGTTTGAGCTTAAATTATCCTAGGTAAGATGTTAAATATCTAAACTTTATTGTTCCTAAAACACCTAAAAAGGTTAACGGGATGTAAAAACTATAAAAGACAGCAATTCATAAAATATATCAGTCTTAGCTATTGGAATTTTTAATTTGTTGTTCCCTCTTACCTTTCCTTCATGCAATAAATGGCCCGGTTGATCACTATTCTAAATTTTACAATGAAATCCCTAATAGAGTGTGTACTGCCTTTGTTCTAGGGTATAGAGCTTTCTGATTTCTGGGGCATATTGATATCTTAAACCTCTAAAGCTCGAAGTAAAACAAAAGGAGAGACAAACTAAAACTAAAACCACTTACTGTACAAGGTACGTGTATGTGGTCTTAAATTTTCCCATTCTACAACACATTAATGCAAAACACGTAATTGTAATAATTCTAAGCTTTCAAAATTTATGTTCATTTCCATGCGGTTAATGTAAATAAGAAAACTTACCTAAGAAAAGGACACACACACTTCGCGCAGACTCATATTTAGCCTGGAGACATTCAAAGCCGTGAGGTCCAGCCGGTTTTAATTTAGTACATTCAGCAAAACACTCCTGCCTGGTTGTGCTGATTTCGTGGAATAAAGTAGGTAAATCGGCATTTTGTAGATATTGGTCGGAGGCGGTGATAACGCCTGGAAAAAAGTTATTATTGATATTATTATATTAAGAGTTATAATTGATAGCGTTTGTAAAAGTAGACTTGTTTTTAAGTTTAAGTTATCTTGTATGACAGCTTGTATGACAGCTGCAGTCATCTCCATTAAAAGTAATGCAAAATAACTACTCATATTATCCCGCACCGAAGAAACATTTTTCACAAACTACAAAAACTAAAATGAACAAAAAAAAAAAAAAAAA